GGGTAGGAAGAGATGGGGAAATGCGGGGAGGGGGTCCGTGGGGTGGAGGGAGAGGTTGGCGGGTGGAGAGAAGAAGGTTTGGAGGGACAGGAGAGAAGGAGCAGTGGTTGGAGAAGAGAAAGAGAAGGATGGATGGGGAAAAGAAGGATGGATGGAGAAGAGAAGAGAAGAGAAGAGAAGAGAAGAGAAGAGAAGAGAAGAGAAGAGAAGAGAACAGTGGTTGGAGAAGAGAAAGAGAAGGATGGATGGGGAAAAGAAGGATGGATGGATGGAGAAGAGAAGAGAAGGATGGATGGTTGCAAGAGGAGGGGGGAATGTGGGTGTTGCTTAGCTCCTCCATGATGGGTCTGACCCTCAAGACAAAGGTGCTCAGCTGAGCTCTGGGTGCCGGGGAAAGCCCGGGCCGGCAGTGGGGTGCCAGCAGCTCTGCTCTGGGCTGGCAGGAGGTGGGCAGCTACCACCTGGCACTGAGACGGATGGCAGGGGACCTCCTGTCCCTGCGCCGGCACGTCGCCAGCCTGGAGGTGGAGAACGGGCACCTGCGGCGCAGCCTGACCTCGCAGGAGGAGCTGGGCCACGCTCTGCTCGACGACGCGGACCTGGACGTCATGACCCGAAAAGGATAGGCTCGGTGCGTGATGGGGAAGGATGGAGGGTGGTGGAAACTGGGGGACAGCAAAGGGGACAGCACTGTCCCCTGGCCGGGTGCTGAGGATGTGACGTGGGCTCTTGCAGCCACCCTCAAGCGCAAGCTGGTGGCCGGCGCAGCGGAGATGAGGAGGCTGAAGGACCGTGTCCAGCAGCTGCAGAACGAGCTGATCCGGGTACGGACGCTGGCAGGAGCGGACAGGGACTGCCCGGGGGGTGGAGGGAGGGTGGAGGAGCAGGGAGACCATCACGGCCCCTCTGTAGCCAACCAAGCGCCCGAGAGCTCCAGGACCCCACCACGAAGCTCTCCCAGCCCTACAAGCGATGCCCCAAGGCTTGAGGCTCGGCATAGAGATTTCCTGGGGGCTTTTCCCCTTCCTCCCCCACTCCCCTCCAGAAAAACGACCGGGAGAAAGATTTGGTGCTGCTCCAGCGAGCCCACCGGCAGCAGCAAGCCGCGCTGAGGAGGTGCCAGGAGAAGGTGGCCAAGACTAAGGGCTTGGAGGAGACCGTGCGGCAGCAGGAGAAGGTGAGTCGGGGGACATGAGGTTGGGGTGAGAAGGGCAGGTTTGAGGGGCATGAGGCTTTTTGGAGAAAAATGGGACCTTTTGGCTTGTTCCGCCCCTCCACGAGCACTGCCTGGTGCCGGAGGGGATGTGACGGCCACCGCAGTCTTGCATTGAGGTGTCCCCATGCCCTGGTGACACGGGGATGGCTCTGCTCTCTCCCGCAGGTGATCGAGGCGATGGAGCGGATGCTGCAGGAGAAGCTTGCCGGGATGGGCAGGAGCACTGAGAAGCCGGCAGGTGGGTGCAAGTGGGGACAGGGACCCTTGGGTGGGGGGGACACCCATATACAGCTGCTGGACTCCGCTGGTGGCCACGTCCTTCTGATGGTTTG